ATGGTGATTCTTGACAAACTTAAGTCAATCACAAGAAGTCTATTAATAAAAGGGAAGACTCTTTCTACATGCTTTTTACCACCCCCACCCCCCGCTTCTGTTGATGACTGTTGTGAAACTTTAGTTTTAGTCTTCTTAGTTTAAAATACTTTAAACAAGAGACACACAGCAAAGGAGATGCAGCATACAGCAATTTATTGCAAAGGAGGAAGTATACTCTGAAAGCTAGGTGCGAAGTAGATGGTACAACCTGAGAAAAGATTCAGGATGGTATAACCTGAAAAAAGATTCTCATCCTAAGGATGAGACAGCAAAGACTGGCACTAGGGAGACTCACTTTATTGGAGTCTTATATGATTATTCATAAGGGGGTGGGGAGAGGTGTTACTAGTAATCATGTTCTGGGTGGTCCTCTAGGAGCCCATGCACAGTAGCTGTACATGCTTATTCATATGTTGCATGTCTCATTAGGATCTTAAATATCCACCCAGGGGTGCTTTTCTTTCTTTTTTTTTTTTTTTTTATCATTACAATGAACAAAGGGTCAGTCTGAGGACAGGTAAAATAAAAATGCACCTGCCTTTTGCACAGGAGAAATTCCCAACGGGAGATAGCTTTGCTTGAGTGGGCTTGACTACAGTATGAATGCTGGGGCTTACTGTGTTGATGGTGCAATTAGTACAGTTCCTGCATCCCGAGGACATGGTTACTTACTTGACTACCTATCCTGCCTCAATTTGGATGCTGGTTTGAGAACACAATGTCTGGAGCTCTCACAGCCATCTTGTGATCATGAGGAAACATGGAATGCCAATATGCTGAGAAGGCAGAATATCAAGACTAGAAGATCTTGAGTCCTTGATGAAAATGTTGAGTGGTTGCACCAAACCTGGACTTACTTACCTTGAGATTTCTCATTATGTGAGATCATTATTATTTAAGGTTAGCTGGGTATTTCTCTTATTTGTAGCTCAAGGCATTGCTAACTGATATGGGTTGGGTTTTCTGTCTCTGTGCTCTGTTATCCTCAGTGTCAGCTTTATCCTCTGTGATGGCAAAATGACTGCAGAAATACTAAGCTTTGTATCTGTACATCACATTCGTCCAGAAGGTAAAAACACACTTTTAGTGATCCAGCATACACATAAGAGTTGTGAGATTCACCTTGACTGGACCAGCCTAGGTTACCTACTCAGCTTTGAACCAATGATAGTGGTCAGTGGTATGGAATATATTGATTAGTTTATTCTATTCAGGATCTGCTCCCGGAACTGAAAATAAGAATCAAAATAAAACCAGGATTCTTTTAGCAAATGCCCTCAATGCCTTGCTCATATCTCCTAGGCTCACCTTGGTGATCACCTCCACCTTTGATGGGCAGTTTCCATATACACTAAAGACTTCCGACCTTAAGCACCTGCAACTCTCTGCTAAGGTTATTCTCTGGCCACAGAAGCACAAGTGAAGTCTCAGGCATTATCAATTCCCAGGAACCACCCTCAACAGATGATGGAGTTTGATGGATAAATATTTCTTTAGGTTTCTTGATCTAGTGAGATGGTTCTTATGTTCCAGATTTGTAGTGTCCAACACAATAAGCCAACACATGTGGTTATTACAATTTAAATTAATTGACAATAGATAAAATGAAACATTCAGTTCCTCAGTCACATTGGCCTCATTTCAAGTACGCAACAATTGCATGTGGCTAGAGGTTGCCATATTGGACGGTGCAGATAGGTCATTCCATTGCACAGAAAGTTTTTTTGGGCAGTGCTATTCTGCACGGTCTCTCTGAGCATCCTCTCAGAACTGAGCACATGTTGATCACTTATTAATTCACCTTTTCTTAGCCTTCTTTTCTTACCTATTTTGTTCCCTCACATCTTCACTCTTTCTTAGTCCATTTGTGCTGCTATAACAAAATATCTAAGACTGGTAATTTATAAAGAACAAACATTTATTTTTTACATTTTTGGTGGTTGGGAAGTCCAAGATTATGGCACTGGTGTTAGGTGTCTGGTAAGGGCCTTCCTGCTGTATCCTCACATGACAGAAAAGCGGAAGAACACAAACCCACTCCCTTAAGCCCTTTTATAAGGGCCCTAATCCCTGCCCTCATGATGTAATCACTGCCTAAAGGCTCCATCTCTTAATACAATCACACTGGTGATTACTTTTCAACATATGAACTTCAGGAAATATCCAAATTGCAGCACTCTGCTTCCTGGAATCACCTTCCAAATACGCTTGCCCCAAAGTCCTTGTCTCAGTGTTTTGAAGAATCCTAACCAAGGAAATACTCTTAGGAAGAGGAAAGAGAGGGAAGGATGTTGTCGACGACCAACACATGTCTTCTACATTCTTGCTACTCAAAGCATGGTCCACGACTGGCAGATTTTTAGAAAAGCAGAATCTTGCTCACACCTGTAATCTCACCACTTTGGGAGGCTGAGGCGGGTGGATCACCTGAGGTCAGGAGTTCGAGATCAGCCTGGCCAATATGGTGAAACCCGTCTCAACTAAAAATACAAAAATTAGCTGGACATGGTGGCGGTCGCCTGTAACCCCAGCTACTCAGGAGGCTGAGGCAGGAGAATCTCTTGAACCCGGGAGGCGGAGGTTGCAGTGAGCCGAGACCGCACCCCAGCCTGGGCGACAGAGCGAGACTCTGTCTCAAAAAATAAATAAATGAACAAAAAGGAAAGAAAAGCAGAGTCTCAGGCCTCACCCCAAACCTACAGAACCGGGATCTGCATTTTAAAAAGATTTCCCAGGTGATCTGGCTACATAGTCAACTTTGAGATGTTCTGCCTCATAGCTCTCTTAAACAGAGGGAGGAGAAAACAGAAACTGATAAAACATACCCTTCAAACAGGGCTTCTCACTAAAAAGCTCCAAAAGGTATATGTCATCATCTTTCATTTCAGGACTCTGGTGCTTTTACCAATGTTTACATTTTTCATTTTCATTTTTGTCTTGAGGATCTTATGGCCCACTAGCTTGAGCTCCCCTTTCCTTGAGAAGAAAAGCTCCCTTTGTCCTTTGAGTTGACCTCTTTGGCACTGATTTTTTCCTTTCTGTATCTAGAGGGTCTTTGACTCCCCAGTTCAGCATTTTATCATAAGGTGGTCAGAGAGCCAACACCTGACAAAGTCCTACTCCGACGGACTTTCACAGCTGGCGAGCGAATAAACCCTCTCTCCTAAAGACAACGGGATTCTCTATCTACAGCCAAATTTGTTCTAATTAGCTGGCTCTCAGCTTTGCAGGACAAGTCTTCTGGAGGTTAATAATGCTATTTTGAGAATACCTGTATCTTGCCTGTTAATGAACATGATGATGTGAACATAAAATATTTTTCATTCCACAAAGAAAGACAGTCCCCATTCCCTATCTCATGTCTCCATTCTGGACTTGCTTTGTTTTTACTTAAATTATGTTCAAATCACACTTCCATTAGTGTTAATTCGGTGGCTTTTGCAATGTTTTTTTCGTTCTTTACCTAACAAGTGATTTTTTTGCTTAGCCCTGATGGAGGCATTTGTTTTGCTCAGGAATGTCTTTTGATTATTGGCCTAAATAAAAGAGCAATGTTTCATGCCAGGTGCTTAAATTTTTGCTTGAAGTGTGTTGGGACACAGCATCTTTGGCAGATATTTATCTAGCATTGGTTTAAGGAAAACTAGGCTTTTTCAAACCCATGCTATCTGAATGCTGTTTGATTCTTGACCCTCATAAAGGACATCTTAACTTTACCTGCTGGTAAGATGTGGAAAAAATATTATGTGACTGCTAAGGATCCGGAAGCCCTGAAAATTTGATTGCTAGTTAAAAATTTTAGGCAGCTTTCTGTAGGATCAGACCCAACATTTAGTTGTTTTGACAAATATAACATTAATTAAGATACTGCAATCCTTCCATACTGGCTAAGTTACCCTTGGAGTAAGCACCCCTCCACTAACACTGGCTGCCATTCCCACTATACCCTGCCTCCTCACGCCTGCTGCAGGAACCACTCCTTCCTCCCAACATTACCACCACCATTTCACCAGAACCCGGCACTAAAGAATACATGTCTGGCCTAGCAGAGGCCTTCAGGACTCAGCTCTAATGCTAGTGCCCCTGTGGCTGGCTTGACTTCAAATAAGTTGGCAGGTGGGTGCCCTGCTGTACAGGTTGCTAAATCTTTTAAATATCCTCTTTGTGAGAATTCAGTCGTCTTGTTATCTGGCTCTTGAAGAATGTGCAAAACATTCAGAAAACAGTCCTCAAATCTTTGAAAGAACGTCCTGTTTGGAATGGCAAACAGAATTGTGCTGACCTTAAGACGGTTGAGAGTATTAGGTAACCCTCCTCTCAAGGATACAATATTTCCTTTCTTGGAGGTGAGAAAAGAGTTGAGAAACTAGATTGACTTAGGAGTCAAAATTGGACTCAGGTCATGTATTACATAAAACTAGATTTGCCTCCAAACTTTGCATTATTATTATTATTATTTTTTGAGATGGAGTTTTGCTCTTGTCGCCCAGGCTGAGTGGAATGGTGTGATCTCGGCTCACTGCAACCTCTGTCTCCCGGGTTCAAGCGATTCTCCTGCCTCAGCCTCCTGAGTAGCTGGGATTACAGGTACCCACCACCACACCTGGATAATTTTACTATTTTTCGTAGAGTCAGGGTTTCGCCATGTTGGCCAGGCTGGTCTCGAACTTCTGACCTCATGTGATCCGCCCGCCTCAGCCTCCCAAAGTGCTGGGACTACAGTGCACTGTGTTCTTAACCTGTCTTTAGATTCCCCGGTTCCTTGTATCAGGTACACAGAAAAACGGAGTGTTTTCTGGCTTCCTCTTTGAGATGCCTTTAGGGCCCCCTAGTGGCTGTTTTAAGACCTCAGGTTTCTTAGGATTAAGGTCTCCTTGACCCTAATAAAAAAAAATCAGACCTTTCCGAATCTCTTCAGTGACAGGTACAATAACTGTGTGGAGATAAATAGATAACAGTTGGTTTAGATAGCTCAATTTATTTTTTTTCATTTTTCGGTTCTCAGCAAAAGCTGTGCTCATTCTTTAGAAATAACAGATATATCACCTTACATATTTTATTCTGCATTCTCATACTATATCGTAGAGGAAATCCTTTTAAGACATTTATATCTTGGTTTGTGTCAAAGGGCTATAATTCCTAGTAACTACATCCTACTTCAGGGTTTCCATGTATATTCATATACATATTTAGTTGCTTGGACTGGGGAGTTGAGGTGCTTTACAATTTTCCAACGTAATACTTTAAACGTGGGGGCTTGATGTACTAACCAGAGGGCTCAGTATGTGGCATATTTCAGTCTGACAACATTAATATCATTTAGAGCATTAGCTATGCCAGTGACTGCAGGAACTTGCAACCTTTATTTGATAAAACAAAGCTTTTCCACATTTAAGGTGCTTATTGACCAATGCAAGTACATTTTGTGAAATCCACTAATAAGGCATTATGTCTTCAACATGCGTTACTGACCAGCGTGAACATTGCTATCTCCCCCACGATGGTCACATTTTTCTTTCTTAGATTCTATCTAGAGAATGTACACTTGAGTAATTATAATGGAGATATTTCTTTCCCGCAAGCTTATCTTTTAGTTGCTGATGTTATTCAATTATTTCTCCTTCGCTTGTAAATTTCAGGTCTCTTTTCCTTTCCTGAGTCACGTTATCTTTATTAATATGCTAATATGCTGTAACAATGCATTTTACACCACTAATGAAGTGAAGCAAAGCAAAACGTAAAAAGAAAGTACAAATTCTGGCTTTAACTTTACCCGGTTCCGGGGCGGGGGTGGGGGTGAGAGAGGAGGAAGAGAGTAGGAAGGAAGGACATTCGGGCGGCAAAAAAATAAAAATGATCCCCTTGTTTTCAGCGCGTTCTAGAACAGAGCTGCACGTCAGAGGAAGAACTGAGCAGCCTTCGAGCTAAAACACTTGGCATTAAACTTTGACACTTCAATGGTCTCTAGAATATTAGGTAATAGTTTTTCATATAATGTTCTTCTCCGATACGGTAATGGCATCAAAACAGATCGGCTATGCCTGCAACGTGCACGGTGAGACTTATCCCCGCAGAGATAAGACAGCAGGACCCCAGCCTCGCAGTTAACTTATCCCGAAGCTCCAAAGCAAACGTCTTTTACTTCTTCGCCGGGGACGCTGCTGTGCCACCGCTGCCTCCCTTTCGCATTCTGCTGGGCTCCGTCAGCCGCTGAGATTAGGTAAACAGCGCCCCGGAGCCGGGGCAGAGCGGGCGCTGCTGCTGCTGGTGGGGGTCGTTGTTTCAAGAGGCTGGAGGGAAGGGGGATGGGAGAAGGGTCCCAGCTCGGTCAAGCCAAAGGCCGAGAGTGTGGTTACCTAGGCGAGAGCCAGGTCCGGAGCGGAGCAGGGGCCGAGCCTCGGAAGCCCCTGCCCACCCCCAGCCCGACCTCGCGGAGTGGGGTCAGCTCGGCAGCCCGAGCTCGGCGGCCTTTTCCCGCGCGCCCCCTCACCAGCCCATCCTTCCCCTGCCCCTTCCAAGAACTAGGGTGGGCTTCCCGCTGCCTCGCCAGAGTCCTGGAGCGCGGAGAGGCGCGCAGAGGGGAGGCAGAGACCCGGCGGCCCGCGCGGCTGGGGAGAGGTGGAAACCCGGGGGGAAGGGGACCCCAGAAGCCCTGGGACCGAGCTGGGGAAAAACCCGGGAGCTGGATCGCGCGCCCGGAGCTCCAGTCTCCGAGTCGGAGTTGTGCAGCCCTCGGCGTCCTCTTTCTCTCCCTGCCTCTCTGCTTTCGCCTCCTCTGGGTCTTCTCTCGAGGGCATCCTCCTTCCATCCATTCTCACACCCCCGCCCTTGTACCCCGACCCATTTCGCCCACTCCTCCTGTGGCTTGGGAGGACTCTCAGCACCCCACCCTCGTTCCTAGAACTGGGAGGCTGGAAGTCCATTCGAGGGATGTTGCGCGCCGGGTTCTTATGCCAAGAGGGAAAGAGCGAGAATAAAACCAGCAGGGGAGGGGCGTGTTGTGCGTGCACGGGGTGTGTGTTTGGGGTGGGGGAAACAGAATGTAGTTTCCTCAGAGGAACAGGAAGCCTTGGACAGGATTCTTGGAAACTGAGCCCAGAAAGATGCCGTCAGAGCCCTTCAGCGGGGCTCCTCACAGACTCCAGCTGCCCCACACCATGCCCACCTCTGAGAGAAGCGGCGACCCGAGGCGGGGAAACTTCCCACTTCTCACGACGGCTGTTTTGTGCCATTTGGGGAGCACGCTGCATGGTCCTGCAAGCCTGCGAGCGTCTCTAACACGGCAGCTGCGAGCCCGTCCCGCTTCCCTTCCCCCTCTTTCCGCGAGGCACGCCAAACCCGAGGCGGCCGGGAGCGGCCGGGGTGGGGGGGAAGAAGGGCGGGGAGCTCTCAGCTTGCACCCTTTCATCCCGACCCGGCCCGGGATCCCGGCTCCGGGTGTTGCTTCCGCCTGCCTGCCAGCGAGCTGAAGAAGCACTGGGGCGGAGTCTCGCCGGGGGGCGGAGCCTTGCGGGGGCGAACTTTCGGTCCGCGCGGCTGCGGAGCTTGCCATTGGTCGGCCGCTCGGTCACGGGGTCGGAGGCGGGCGCCGAGGAGGGCGCCGGCCCCGCCCCCGCTCGGAACCCAGCCCCGGTTCGCGGTCCCCCCCGGCTGCACAGACATGACACAGACACACAGTCACTGCAGCTGCTGAGCGAGTCCGGAGCTCTGGGCACGCGGAGGCGGCGGGGCCAGCCCGAAGCCCGGACCCCAGCGCCCGCCCCTGTCGGCCCCAGCTCGGCAGCCCCCTCCTGACCGGGCGCGGGAGGCGGGGATCGCGCGCCGGCTCCGGCCAGCGGCGCCCGGCTGCCCGTGGCGGCTGCAGCGGCCGCCCAGCTCCGAGCGCCGGGCGCTCCGGGAAGCCGGCGCATCTCGGAGGCGGCGGCGGCCGAGGCCGGCGAGCGCTCCCGGCGGCGGGGGCCGCCCGCCTCGGCTCCCCGCACCCACCGCACCGCGATCCGCTCGCCGCGCCTCCGCTCCCGTGACCTTCCCGCGGCGCCTCCCCTAGCCCCGCGCCCCCGGCCCCGCGCCCCAGGCCGGGGCGAGGCCCTCTCCGGCGCCTCCTTCCCGCGGAGCCCCTGGCGGGCGGCGCAGGCCCTGGGGGAGAGCGCGCCGCGGCCGGCTGCAGCCCCCCCCCCCCGCGCCGCCGCGCTCGGCGCCTGGCCCGGCCGGTGTGTTCCTGCCCCGCCGCCGCTCTGGAGCCCGGGCGCCCGAAGCTGGGGGCGCGGCCGCGCTCGCCTCGCCGGGCCGTTCGCGGGCAGGCCCTGCCCTGAAGGGACGAATCGGCTGGGAGCGCGGGAGGTGGAGTCGGCCCCGGCGGCCGCTCCCTGGACCCAACCCGAGGCGGACCCAGGCCCCTGCCCATGCGGGGCGCCCCTGGCTCGGAAGAGTCCCCCGGGCCGGGAGCAGCTCCAGGCAGCGGCCCCGGAGGAAGAGGAAGAAGGGACAGTGCTCAGCTTGGGCGACCCGGACCCTCGCCGCGGCATTTGGAGCCGGGGGCAGTCCCGAACTCTGCGATTGGCACCGCCGCTCCGAGTAGGGCAGCGCCTGCCGGGACCCTGACCCGGACCCCGTGCGCCTCGTAGGCGGCGGCGCCGCCGCGCCACCCGGTTCTTCCGCGTCTCCCTCTGCCTGGCGGCAGTCACGGCTAAGGTAAGAGCCCCGGAGTGCGAGAGTCGCCGCGGGGGCGCCGTGGTGTGCAGCGCCGGACAAGTTCTCCGAACCTGTCGCTGGTACCCCCTGTACTCGGGATGCCGGCGGGGAGGCCGGGCACACCCTCTGCTGCCCTGGCCGGGAGCCCTGGAGAGGCTGGAGGTGGAAGCCCTCAGTCTCCGACGTCCCGAGGACCCCCTCAGGGCCTGCTCCGCTTCTGGGCACACAGGCTGCTGGCAGGGGAGCGAGCCGGGAGTTGTTTCTGGTTAACACCAGGAGTGCATGTGACCGATACTCGCACCCGGGGCCTCACTTGTTAGCGGTGAGCACCTGTAGTTTGCGGAGCCTTCCGTGTTTGGAGAGGCCCGTCTTGGGCGGTACACAACTACCTTTCCTGGTGTGATGCTGTGAATAACTTTTCTTGTTTCTTCTTGCAGACAGTCCGGGGCAATTTGGGGGCGAGCAGCTACAGCTTGCGAGTCCCTCTTTAGGACAGAGTGGTTGGTTGGCATTGCTATCTGTAGGGGGGGAACCCAGCCAGCATGTCCTTCCTATTAGGCAAAGCTGCTTGTGAGGAGTGATCAGTGTACAGCTATCCAGACATTCTTGTAAATGTCACTACTTTTGAAGTTTTGGAGTGAGGACTCCAAAGTTTGTGTATCCTCAAGTTATTTAGTTCATTGCCTTATCCTCTTTTAAATGTTCCTCTTAAGGAACCTCAGTTGTACAAGCCTGTCCTTGCCTGTTTGAAATTTATTAAACCTATGAGCTTCCCCCAGAACAATCTGATTTTAAGTGGGTCACTTCGGAGGGAACAGATTGTCTCTTGTACACTGAATCCATCCCTTGGGTGACCCTGTTTAATGGGGATGGATTTTTTTTTTTTTTGTCCCTATGCTGATGTACCTCGGTTGAGCAGGTTTCTGCTGAATTCAGAATCCGTGAATTTTGTCACTCAGTCCATTAAAATGATCTCCTGAGGGAGCAAAATAGCAGCTTACATTTTCCGTGAATGTCACTGGAAGTTTTACAGGGTCTTATGTAAGTGCCCAGAGAGAGAGAGAGAGGAGGGAGTCGGGGGAGATCAGGCTCCTGCTTCCTTCAAGGGAAGGAACGGAGGGGGTGGCAGGTGGGGGCGTCCACCTCCCTGATATGCAGATGCCTATTCTCTCTGACACAGGTGTGGAGACCTGAACTGCTTATCATTCCGTGGAGGCGGCCACCTCAGGTTAATTTTTCTCCTCACCTCTCCTCTCTTCCCACCTCAGGAGTCAGCTTCGATAGACTTAAGATAAGGAAAGCTTCTAAATTAAGAAAGGAACAAGTGGTGGTGGTTTATTTTCCCATCTCTCACAAATGGGTGACATTACTCACCGGCACACTTGGTCCTCACTAGGGATCAAAATAAAAGAAATAAAAACGCCGGCTTTAAGATTTCACACATCTCTTAGTGTACCTTTATTGTTCAAGAGTACTTTACTTCAGTGAAAATTGCTTGTGGAGAACACATTTATCGAGCCTGTCCCTGTTAATTCCATGCCAGGAAGAAAACTCACTGGAACAGAGAGGCAAAAGTCACCAAGATTTAGAGGTTAGTGGGTTTTCGAGAGTGGCGAGGAAAGGAATCAAATCTCCCTAGCAGGACAGAGAGGGTTTTAAAGGGAAGATGGGATTGCTGTGGAGTGAGCAGTAGCTGCTGACAAGTGTGGGCCCTCCTGCTTCACCTAATGAAGTGTGCTGGGGTGTGGATGAACTTTTTGATGTGAGCTAATGCAGATACCTTTGGTTTTTAAACCATACCTGGAAGGGCCTTAGAAATGAAATGAAAGGGTTTTTTCATCTCATCATAGGTCTCGGAAGTGCTTCCATCTCTTGGGAAGGTTGTGAAGGTTTCCTTTGTTTCCGGGTTCCTGAGCTGCGCTTTAAAGTTGATGCACAGTGCAGGGAGGGTGCGTCCTGTAGTGTCGCCATCCTTCAGCCACCTACAGTAGCAGGACACTAGGGGGGACTAGTTATCTTTTCCACCACTGAAGAAGAAGAAAACACCAGGGCCTGTGTTACTGTGGTTTATCTTGAGGGTTCATGAGCCTGCGATTTATGTTGAGGGTTCGTGAGACTGTGGTTTAATCTTGAGGATTCGTGAGACAGACTTTTTGGTATCCAGTACAGGCTTGCACTAATGAGTGGATTCTGAGTGCCTAACGGATGGGCCTGCTCACATCTAAATTGTCATTTGGACAACTTAGAACCAGTTAACTGCAAAATGTTATGTGACATTCTGAAAAGACTCAATTACAATCTCTAAGTATTTGAGGACTGTGCAAAGGCTCTATCCTTTGACTATTAGACCATCCTAACTTTAAGTTCCCTAACAGTTTGTAATCAACACTTCTGTTTGGTTTTTGATGGCGTATTTCCTGCAGTCATCATAAAATCACATGGCTTCAAAATGTCTCTGCAGTGGACTCCATCAAAGTTCAAATTCCCCTTAAAAATACATTCTTTATACTTAGAGATGTTTTGACAGCGTAGTTGCACTTCCATTTCAGATGCTCTCTGCACCTTCAGTAGTATGAAATCATTAGTGTCTACAGGCCTTCCAGCAGAATTGGAAGATAATGCTGCTTCCCTGAAGAGCACTGACTGCCCCATTGCCTAGATTTACCCAAGTAGCTAAGTCTTATCAAAGCTGATTCCAGAGGTGGGGGGAGACAGGCAAGATGCAAGGTAGAGGCCAAGAAGAGCCTGCTCAGTTTAGAATACTGTCACAAAAACAGGTAAATATCACCAAGATGTTGGTCATACGGGATTCCTAAAGGCCCAATTCAGCATGTAGAGTTAGACTCTGTTTGAAACCCGTGAACCCACCTGAGTTATTACTTCTCCCTGAACCCTGGGTCTGGTAGACTGCATTTGTGACCTTTTACCCATATGTGTAGTGCATATTTAGGTGGTTGAAGGGGAGCTATTGTTGTGGTCTAGGAAAAATGGTCAGCAGAAAGCTTTATTTCTAACATTCAGGCTTTATAGATTGATTCTGTTGGGCGCAGAACAGCCAAGGGGTAAGGGATTGGAACAGGAAAATACCATTGCATTTGCCATTGAGCACCAACGATTGAAAACCGATCCTGTGGAGGATATATGCTGTCATCCTAAGACATGAATGGGGTCTTACGAATTTGATGGAAGCCAGATGGCAGAAGTAGAGGCAGGAGGCTGGCCTTCCTTATGGTCCGTGAACAAGATGAAGGTGTCTTTTTGGCTGGAGATTCTCAGAAAGGAGGAGCATACTGAATTGGGGGTGGGGGATATGAGACCCAAAAGGTTGAGAGCTCCAGGCACCCTGCCACTGACACACCTTGGGGATACAGCCACCTTGCAAAATCTGCTTAGTGTTGGTGAGGCTGCTCTACCTGGAGTATTTACCATTCATTGAGAGGTGTTCAGCATTTCTCTGTCACATTGGCATGTGGAGAGTAGCAGGCAGCACCCAGTGAAGTTAAGGCTTCATTAAATGTATTTTATAAGACTTTTCATCTTTTCGTTTAACAAGTAATAATAGACCATCTACCCTGTGGCAGGTGCCATGCTGTGTGTGGAGGTTACAGAGGTTCTACATTTAGCTTCTAGTCTTTTATGGGAGGCAGACATTCAACTATTTTTTTGTTTGTTTGTTTCTTTGTTTTTTCTTTTTTTTTGAGATGGAGTCTTTCTCTGTCAGACAGACTAGAGTGCAGTGGCACGATCTTGGCTCACTGCAACCTCTGCCTCCCGGGTTCAGGCGATTCTCCTGCCTCAGCCTCCCGAGTAGCTGGGATTACAGGTGCCCACCACTGTGCCCAGCTAATTATTGTATTTTTAGTAGAGACGGGGTTTCACCATTTTGGCTAGGCTGGTCTCGAACTCCTGACCT